TATAATTTACAATAATGGCCATCAAAGACTTTATTTTTTTACGCTTAGGATATTGTTATAATTACACTGTTATGTCCTTGTTTTGTATAAGCTATATAACTTAATCATTCAATATTTCATGGAATGACTCTGACCTTGGCGAGGATCTTTTTTGCAACAAGTGATTCCTTATGTAAAGTGTATGTTGAATGACCCTGGCTTTGTTGTCAAATAATTGTTTGACAGTTGTTAAATATGGGGTTATGTTTTATCTCTGAATGTTTGGGATGAAATATTTTAATAAGGACAGTTCTAAGTTGGAAACTCAACTGGGGCCTTTTCAATTGAATTCAATGTACAGCATGTACAGTTTGGACATTTCTCTAATGTGAATGCTACTTATGTTTGCAGAATGTCTGGATGAATGAATGAGTCAGTCATCTGCACAGCATCAATGGAAAAAGGGAAGCAATGAGGAACAAGAGAAGAATAGCAGTGAGTGGTAAATATTTGAAATTATTCTGTTTGGTTCATCATGTTCATGTAGCTATTCTGCAAATATTTCTTCAGTTTGCTTGTTCTTTATCACCTGTTGGCATGGATGGCCTAATTATCAAAGGCACTACAACTTGCTGTGCATAGTTGCATCTCTTGGGCTTGACAGAAACCGATGGTCGTGGGTTTGAATCGAGGGTAGCATCATACACTTGCTTGTGGGTTTCATCAAAGTGGTAAACATGTAAGACCTGCATCACTTCGGGCTTTTCCACATCAAGCTTACATGCCATGATATAACTGGAATACTGTTCAAAGAGGCGTTAAACCCAATTCACTCATTTAACACCACATCCAGCAATAGTTCAGCTAAATGACAAGGATTATAAATTAATCAAATCTCAAATCTCAACTAGACAAACCAGAGATTAATGTTATGAGCTCGATCCAGACGCACCGATGATGACTGTTATGGACAACATCCCATGTTATTGGGTACGATTACGAGCTTTCAATGAGCCCACTTGCTACCTCATCTATTACTTTGGCTTGTATGGCAAGCATAGGTTGCTAGGAACATTTTTAAGAGATGTCAGTTAATGATTGTTTCAACTCATCAGCATGGAACAATATATATCTCAAATGTTTGGTATATAACAAAACTCAAAGATGATAAATTAAGTGAATTTGCTGCCTTTTATCTGTAAGTACATGTTGCAACAATTCTTTTCTTTTGCTACAATCTTTATACATAATTTTGCAGAAACTGAAGTCCAGCTTGAGATACCCGGGTGACAGGTTGACAGTCTGGAAGGACCCTTCCAGATATCCGAAGTGATTGGCAGACAGCGATGAGGAGAGTCCTGTTATTTCAATGGGAGCCTACCGAGAAGTTATATGCCAATTGACACTGGGACACACTCACAAAGGGTGGTCAGGCAAATGGGAGAAGACCAACCAATGCCAAGTCGGAGTGGGATCCTTCAAGGACGTTGAAGAAATTATTGTCTTTGGCCATGTGGTAATCACTTGAAAGGAATGATGTTTGCGACTACTTGTCTATAAATGTGGACCCAAACACCAAATAGAATGTTCACAATTCTACTAACACAATGCAACAGGGATAGAGCCCATCTGGCCTCCCCTCATCCTGGTTCCTGTTTTTCCATGGCAATATAGAAGGAAAAGGATGTTTGAGGGCAAGTAACTCTGAACTGGTGAGCATGGTCTGCTGATGCTTTCAAGCGAACAGTTATCCCGCTCTGTTATGAGTATTGAAGAATAGGAGGAAAGTGCATACTGCATCAGGAACCATTATATGAACACTGTTCAATGTTTGATATATGCATATAAATAAAAGAAATTGATAATTTGTTTGTTGTTTGTTTCTTTAGCCAGCTGTGTAAATGGGGATTTTCCAATATTTTGCCTCAGTTTGATAGCCACAGTTATCGTATAAAACCATGCATTGCTTGGACATCTTTGGAATAACACATTGATCTGCTATGTCAAAGGTCAATGTCACAGCCAGACAAAAAAATTGTTAATGGCCAAACTCTTCCTTAGGGCAGGGATAGAAGTTGGCAACAGGTCATACACTTACTTTTTATCCCCCGGCATATAATACGGGGGATATAGTGATCAGCCTGTCTGTCCGTCTGTCCGTCCGTAATCATTTCCTTTTCCGGGGCAGGATTCCCAAACCATTCAGTGTATTTGATCGAAACTTGGCAACTCTTATCAGGCACATACTGAAGTGGTGCCTTTTGATATTTTGGGATTTTTCTAATTTTTATTTTTTTAAATTTCTATGGAATGAAGTTGGACATAGACTCAATTGGGGATGGGGTTCGTTTCCGGGGCAGAATTCGAAAACCATTCAGTGTATTTGATCGAAACTTGGCAAAGCTATCATGCACATACTGAAGTGGTGCCTTTCAAATTTTGGGATTTTTCTAATTTTTTTTTTTTTTTTTTTTTAATGGAATCAAGTTGGACATAGACTCAATTGGGGATGAGGTTCATTTCTGGGGCAGAATTCGAAAAAAAAATGTATTTGATCGAAACTTGGCATTCATATGGATGCGACCATGGTGGATCTTTTGTGGGTAAACAATGTATGCTTCTGAAAGAACATTCAACTGTTGACTCATTACATACAGAAATGCACTAGTGGTTACTTTACAGACAGCTGCCGGGGGGATATGTCATCTTTCTGATGACTCTTGTTCTCTAATGTGCTATTTCCCGCAGAAGTCTAAATAACTCTTATACACATAGTTGTATATCATTGTCATATGTTTGTCAATATTACACTGAATGAAGCACTTTACAATTGTTTTTGAAATAGTCGCAACTGATATTGAAGGTCAAATTAGCTTTCAATGTCTTTCAGTAAAAATGTTCACAGTAACTGAGGAACAGCTCTCTGTAGTGTGATGAAATCTGGTACATGACACCCTCAGAGTGAGGCATATTGTGTTTCAAACTTAAATGAAGCTGGTATGCTCATAACAAGTACTTGTACCTTTACAAATAATCATATTATCATCTCACTAGGACCAAAGGCCCAAGTGAGCACACAGTCGCTGAGTTTATACTTTCACTCAGAATAATCTGGAAGTCTGAACATGAAATTTAAGGATATCATCATACATGTATTAGAACTGATGTTTGTTCATTAAACAGCTTAACATCTAAAAAGAATTATAGATGAAATTGAATAAAATTGTCTTCTCCAAAAGTACATGGCCATAGATCTCAACTTTAAGGGGATATTTACAACTAAAATGACACAGAATATTACTACAGCTATCTGATATGCCCAGGCTAACATTATTTACCAGAAATAAGACATCTCGAAAAATTGCATCCGGATACCTGCCGGATACCTGCCGGATACCTTCAGCAATGTTCAATTTTCATGGTTAGTCTCCAATATATATTTAGGTGTTTCACACCTAATTGAACAAAATATACCCCCAAATTGTTACATGTTTTTGGAAACTCAGAATGAGGTATCCGGTGCCGGATTCTTGGTATCCGGTGCGGATCCTTGGACACCCAGATTGAGGTATCCGGTGAGGTATCCGGTGCCGGATACCCGGATTCCCGGTGGCATACTTTCAGGTGAGGTGTCCATGCCGGATACCACGGATCTGGTATCCGGCAAGGTATCTGCCACCGGATACCCGGACGCGTTTTGGGTAAGTGTCCGGTGGTATCCGGCAGGTATCCGGATACCGGAAACTGCATTTTTTTTGCTGTGAAGGAAGTATTCGTGCATGGCAGATTCAACATCCTTAAACGTTTGAATTGAATGCCCCTCTTTGGGCAGTTCATCATCAATAAAATCTAATCTTAATATCCTATTTCTGGCCCATTGTGACCCTGGCTGTTTCAAGTTGTTCTTATGCTTTATTATGTCATTAACGCTCTTCTCCTCTCATACTAGAAAAAAAAAAAATTACTCCCCGAAAAAGCTAGAGCATTAACAATAGCTTCACCGACCAACATCGCAATTGTTGCCATATTCAAATGTTCAATAATATAAAATATTCAAATGTTTAATTACTTCATTATGTCTTCTGGGATAAACCCTTGTTTGATGAGCATATCTTTTGTTGCCATTGCCAATCCTATATGAAGAATCATCATACCGATATCATAACCATTAAAATCATAGCCATGCCGCTGACCACCGCTGAATGATACGTTGCATTTACCAACATTTTATCATCTGTAACTGGAGTAGTAATGCCTTTATAACATTATATGAGGGCGTACCTCTAATTGAACTGGTTGTTGTGTAATCGGGGATGACGTTTTCTCTTCTCTGGTCTTATAAAACCGCTATAGTAACAACCCCCAATGCATAGGGAGACCAAGTTTTAATCGGACGACTATGTTCAATATTCGAATTGTGTATTAGTTTTGACTTCCTCGCTAGTGCCCCCTTCCTACCAGCTGCGACTTTTCGAGGATTCTTAGTCTCTCTGGCTTGTGATTTCACAATTGCTGGTATTTCCTCATTCACTTGTTGTATTTCCTTGTTCACTTGTTGTGTTTCCACAAACTGTTGTGGTGTCACTTGATTCTCCATTATTCGTAAGTGGGCACGTATGTTTAAATTGACTTCCTCATTCACTTGTTGTATTTCCTTGTTAACTTGATGTGTTTCCACAACTGTTGTGGTGTCACTTGAGTCTCCATTATTAGTAAGTGGGCACGTATATTTAAATTGACAATACCTAGCCGTTATTAAAGCGGTGGTCACCAGCGCTAAGAACATTCCGTATCCATGATAAAACTCACAGCTTACTGCACTTATAGCGTGTTCGATGAACAGGTCTTTCTCTAGAGATTCGCATTAATATGGGCGATGATCTGCCGGGATAGGAAGAAACGTACTAGCTTCGACTGTGTATAGTTGTAACATAGCCGAACCAATTGTTTTAGTCATGGTAGCTCCCAGTCTAGACTCGTAGTGCGCGTACAATTTTTTCGTTTCTCCATGCTTGGTATAAATAACATCATTTTCACGTAGACATTCCTCAAATGAATCTCGGTCTTTGCAATGAAACATTTTGAACAGATTTTCAGGGCGACGAATGAGAATGCAGCCTACACGTAAACGAACGATCACAACAACAACAAAGGTGAGTGGCATGACGCATCTGTTTCTTTTTTTTTCAATTTCTTTTTCTGCAATCCGAATTGTTGTTTGCCGGTTTGTCGTATGTCCTTGTATTTCGCTCAATTTGAATAAAATTTATTTCCATATTCATGTTCGTTTTCTTGTTTTTTACATCTTAATTTAAATTTTAGTAACTGTAATAATTATTTATTTATTAATTGATTTTTATAAAGTACTGATTTAATTTATTATGCAATTGTAAATAGCATTGTTTTGTAAATATGTTATCACAACTTGTATATTTGCAGAACTTGAATTTACGATCTTTCTGTCCTTTTACAATCTTCCCCTCCTTTCAGATCAATCTGTGATATCTTCTCTGTGATGTCATTCTTATAGTAGCTGTGGTTCAATGTTCAGGTAATGTGATAAATTACTATTTAATTACTTAAATACTTTTTGTTTCAAATCCTGAAAAAGAACAAAATAAATCTGATATTTGTGTTTTTGCCTGTGTTAACGAGTTTACCTGCGTTAACAAGTTTACCTGTGTTAACGAGTTAACCTAAGAGGCTGTAAGTGTATCATAAGTAATATGTGACATCAGTATCGAAAACAAAGTCGGTACCAAGTGTTGTAAACTTGTTTATTTGTTTACAGATGTGCATGAAGAGAATTTACCTGTAACACCTGGGATTACCTGTGCCGTCCAAGATGACAAGACCACCGTGTTATGTTTACCTTGTATCTGTGATTTTATTATGTGATTTTTAATACAATTTGAGCCAAAATTCATTTTCTGTTATCATTTTTTCAGTGTTTTCAAGTTTTACTTCACTTGTAAACACCTGTAATTAGAAAATAACAAAGGTTAGAGACAATAACAACAAAGAATATTACAGTATACTTAATCCTCTTTACAATGGTATATTATAAATTTATATTAAAAGCAAGTTTCTGGTAGAAAAAGTGCATCAAAAATGATAGTGTGATTTTCCAATAATACTGCCAGGGAGGCCAGTGTGCAGGCCTTGTCAGTGTCAGGGACTGCAGTGTTTCAAGGGACATAACTCTGGGGCAGCCAGGGATGAAATAGTTAACAACGCATCTTCGAAAGACACCATAATTGTTTAGTATTTCTTCTTTTTACTTTGCATCTTCTGGCTGAAAGTGAAACTGTTTGAAACTTATTGTATTGAATCCATTGATGATTGTAATATTCATAGTTTTCTATTTCAAGATTTTCTCAATTGAGTTGATGATAATGTGTCTTTTCTAGTCAAAAAGAAAGTTTGTTTTTACCCAAATATAAAAAAAACAAGTCTTAGAACAGAAGAAATTCTTTATTTTTTCTCAGAAGTTGAAAACATTTGGTTTTGGCAATATGTTGTGGTACGTATCGCAATACACGACTTTGTATAGCAATATATTGCAATACAGGTTCAAGGGGCAATACCCATTTCTTATAGTCGGGCACAAAATAATAATATAGTCGAAAACATCCTCATAATGACTTTGTAAAATATCTAGAATAAAAGCTGTTTTTCCACAACCTGTGTGCCAGCAGATGATAGCGCAGTGCGGTTCTTTAGGTAAAAGATTATTAATTGATTGCTTGCACGAATCTTCCATTCTGTATATTAAATTGCGCGTCCATAATCAAATTTATGTTTAATTTACCAGCCCCTTGGAAGAGCTTCGTTATCTGTATAGTAACAGCCTCGCTGGCATTTTCTATTCTCCGCCCACTGCCGTGTAGTTGGTAATCATCTGTGGTTCGCATGTCGAGCCATAGCACATACTTCGTGGTAAGGAATTCACCAATAGATACATCCCCAAGAGACAGATCTTTCACAACCTTGTTTACTTCTGGGCTTCGTTTTATAGAAGGGATTTTTTTAATCTCATCCCACTGTTGATATGCTTGCATGCCTTGACTATATAGTTGAGTAGGCACATCCTGGATAGTCAATTCTACTTTTGTAATCTTGGGATTGTAGAACTTCTCGGTATCTCTTGCAAATGCTTCAGAAGGGTCCTCGAACAACATTAAAATACCCTTCAACGATCTAGCGGGGACGATTAGATTGATATTCCACGTCATATCTCTTTTGTTCCTGGTGATCTTTCGGTGTCGAAGCACGCGATCGTACAAAATGGCTAAACATCCAGTATACTGGTTACGAATTTGTCTGGCTAATTCAGGGTCTGTTATCATATCATACTCCAGTGAGATATTGTCAATAGAATAGCTACTAGGATCTTCAGTAGCTTTGATTACTCTGCTGTAGTCATTAAAAGTGAGTTCGTATTCTAACCTATCGCCTAGGGATGCTTGATAAAAGGGCATGTGACTATCTAGTAATTCAAAGTCGAGCGGAATATAGAATTGGTTAACTAATGCATCTGCAACAGCCTTATCTCCTACGATGATATTATCGCCACTTGTATTTGGACAGTGATAAGTTGTCAGAAATGTAGTACTGTTTAATGTAAGCAGTTTTGAGGAAGATACTAAAGATGATAGTGTCATATGTAAACTTCCAAAATACCTTGGACTGTGATAGTGTTTTATAGAAACATGTGGATTATTCTATGTTGTAAGGGAATGTGTGGAAGTTTCAAGTAATTAGTAGACTATACATAAGGGGGCAAGATCGTGCCTCTCGTATCTCTCTCACACATCTCATTACATCAAGACCAGCTTTCTTGTGAATATCACCATCCTTGATTCCCTGCCTTGATCTTTCTCAGAAGCTCGACCACTGTCAACTGACCAGTGCCATCATATTATATACTGTCATTCAATTTTGTACTGCCACTCTATTGTGTATTTGCTATGCAGTAATTTGTATTGATTTGTAAACCTAGGTAATTTTGTAATTCACTTGTTGATTCTTCTCCATTTGTTGGTTGCTTGTTTGTTTCACACTAACTTCTTGTACGTACAGATTTCTGTGTAAACATATTGTTTCAATTTGGGAATCGACATGCAACAACTGATAATTTAGATACATGTTAAAACAGTGTCATAAGGTAACTGGATACATCAATTCAAATACATAATAAGACGTATTTACTATATCACTAACTTGTAAGGAGGATCTCAGTGATCAACTTAAAATTCAGGCAAAGGACAGTTGTGGTCACTCAGTACGGTTGGTGTGCATGTGAAATGCTGAGTGTTAGGTTGTCTAGACTGGAACAATCAGGTGTACATGTAAGCTGACTAAAACAGAAACAACAGAAAACATTCTAGAATGGCCCAGCCTACCTGTCATACACAACAACAAATCATTGTTGATGCTCAGGCTTAAATATACAGTCGATTAATAAAAGCACAAAGCTTAAGTTCATATTCTACTGAAAAAAAACATTGTAGAGTACAACAGCCGTAAAAGTTCACTACATTTAAAGGCCAATACATCATTTCAATACAATATGTACAAATATGCAAAATACAGAGAGTGCCTGTATATAAAACACTGTCACATGTATAGTCTTTTTCACGTGTTTGTGACTTTGTCTTTTATGTAAGCTCTGACATTTTTGTTAGTTTATATGATGTTTTACTGTAATAAGTTGGATGTTACATGTATACAAGGTGCACTGCTAGAGCATTGACCTTACTTAATGTGATATTTTGCGTTTGTTGTTGCAAACAAACTTTCATAAATAAATCACTAACTTGTTAGGAGGATCTCAGTGATCAACATAAGATCCACGCAAAGGACGGTTGTTGTCACTCAATACGGTTGGTGTGCATGTGAAATGCCTGAGTGCTAGGATTTCTAGACTGGAACAATCAGGTGTAAGCTGACTTAAACAAAGAAACAACAGAAAACATTCCAGAATGACCCAGTCTACGTATCATACACCACAACAAATTATTGTTGAAGCTCAGGCTTTAATATACAGTCGATTAAAAAACCCACATAGGTTAAGTTCATATTCTGCTGAAATAAGCATTGTAGAGTACAACAGCTACATTGAAAGGCCAATACATCATTTCAATACACTATGTAAAAATATGCAAAATACAGAGAGTGCCCGTATATACAACACTGCCACATATATAGTCTTATTCACGTGTTTGTGACTTTGTCTTTTATGTAAGCTCTGACATGTTTGTTAGTTTATATGATGTTTTACTGTAATAAGTTGGATGTTACATGTATACAAGGTACACTGGTAGAGCATTGACCTTACTTATTGTGATATTTTGCGTGTACTGTTCCAACCAACCTTTCATAAATAGTGAGTGAGTAAGTTGATATTTAACGCCTTTCCTTCCTACATGGACCTTTCATAAAGAAGTCACACTCTTCGTTTCATAAGTGATACATATTTGCAAGTCTACCTCTGTCAATCTTTCATAAATCTTTTCCTTTCCAGTGCCCACAACTGAGCATGTCAGGGTCGGAAGCTATGCCACGTTGTCATGGACTCTCCCGGAGCCTGGGACCAGAGAGTTGAGTGTGTGTAACAGTGAGACAAAGACATGCCTTTTTCACGTCACAAGCCACAATGATGTCAGAGCTGCCAGTGACAAGTTCACATCTAGACTGAGATTCATTGGAAAAGTGTCATCATCAGGAACTGGTTTGTTTAGATTCGTGCTCTCTGATGTGAGTTGGGAAGACGAAGGTCATTACAAGTGTTACAGAGGCTCACCAGGATCATTGGGACCAATCATCCCTGACTGTGGACAGAAGCTGGTAGTGCAGGGTAAGTAATATTCAGAAAGTTCCGTCTACTATGTGATACGTATCTGTTGCCTACCAAATGCCTGGAATACCACTTTGATATTCATACTGTTTGATAATCTTGACATCTTGATTAGCTTTTTCACAATGTATTTGTTGGTTTACATTTTAGAAACTGTTGAATACCACGACTAACTCATATATGGATATATTTTTGATTTATTGGAAGTGTAGTTCCCATGTACATGTGGTGTTCTTCAAATAGAGGCAACCTTCTGCATAGCTCTGACACTGTTATTGCCTGTGTTTACTTTTCGTTGGTTAAGCAACTATCGTTGCCAATATGATTGCTACACCCTGAATGTTTGTGCTTGTAAATGTCACTTATGACTGCTCTACAGCAATGAAATATGTCATGATGAGGATTTAGAAAGGTATAATGATCCAGAATCATGTCTCTTCTTGAATTTGCTTGTAATACTGACATGTCAGTTAAACTTCTTACTTCAATTATTCTGTTTCATTCAAAACATCCTGAAATGAGATCCATGAAATCGTTTTATGTACATATTCACACCGACTGCTGTCATTAGGTAAAACAAACAACAAGAGGACAGTCATTACTCTAATATTAAACATCATTATGAACAATTCTGAACCACGAGATAGTTATGTTTTAATGTAAAACACATTTCAAGAAATTCTTCTTATTCCAGTCTGTGGAATTATACCTCTTATCATATGACATGAAAACCCTGCCAGCATAAACACCAGAGATGTATCCGTAAAACAAGAAAATACTCTTGTGCATTCCTTAATTATGGAAGACAGATCTTGCAGCACAGCAACAGGGCAACTACTCTTATGCATGGCAGCAAGTCGGAAGCCATGGAAGTCAGCCTGCCTCTCAATGTCAGTTGTCGACTTCAAGTGATTTTAATATGCTCATTCTCTTATGTAACAACATGATTGCAGCACGTAAAACACAATCTCTGGGGATGCTTTTAATCAACCGGGCCCGCTGCACAGAGCATCCTTAGTTACCATCGAC